ACTTTCTCCTGGTCCTCCTTCAGCTGGTTTTTCTCGTAGTCCAACTGGATCCCCAAACGAGTTTTCTGAGTCTCAAACTCAAGGCTGAAGAAGATAAATTCAATCCATCAAACCATGGACAGTATAATGTAATGTTCATAGAACTGACACTCACCGCTTCTTTGCAATTTCATTTTGTCTCTTGACCTTCTCCTCTTCAAACTCTCTTATGTTTCTCACTCCAATCTCCTTACAGAACTCCACAAACACCTCATCCTCTACCTACAGCACAAAATGTTGGTAATAATATGAATGGATTTTTATAAAATGAGAGATTACAATTTTGGTATTCTCACCAGATTCATCCGATCCCTCAGATCAGTGATCTCTCTTTCACGTGATTGGATGATCCTCTTAATGTCATTAATTCGAGGACCAAAATTTGCCAGCTCACTCTCAAGCTTAGATTTTTCCTGCAAAACAACACAAGTTCTTTCAGTTCTGCAAGCATTCACATAGAAGACCATAATAGTCTAAAAATACTATTGAATTTTAGCAGGCAGTGCTAATTGGATGAATGTACTGGTATACATGTCCTTTTGGAGCTCCTGTGCATGGATCATTCTCAAATAAAAAAAAAACAAAAAACTGAGCATCTCTTAAGGTCCTATTATTCCAGAAACCAAATGCCAATGCAGTGATGAGGCAGACATCTCAAGCTTGCCCTTTTTGACTTGAATACTGTTGTTTATGTTTATCATTTACCTGCATGTTGAGTGACAGATGGCGGGTTTTGGTCTGCTCCAAGTCGCTCTGGGAGTATTTGAGTCTCATTTGTAAACCATGGGCCTGAGACTGAACCTGACGCAGCTCGGCCTCTTTCCTCTTAGCTTTCATTTGTTCCTATAAAAAGAACATGGTGATTATTAAAAAAAAACTGTTGAGGTAAAGGTTATCAAAGAGGGACTGCTAATATCACTTTCACATGTACCTTGAGCTCGTCAGTCAGTTTTTCTTTCTTCTCTTTCAGCTTATCCACTGCCTTCTCATCCCAACGGCGAGCCTTTGCCTTCAGGTCGCTGGCTCCTCCAGAGATGACACCCGACTTTTGGAAAAGAGTACCATCCAGGGCTACAGTCTAAAGAAAAAGATTAAGACCAATAAACATTAACCCAATAAGCGTCAACCAATTTAAAACCATTCTTAGATGCACACCTTGTGTCTGTAGGGCCCTCCGAAAGCAATTCTTCTTGCATCTTCTACATTCTCACAGACCAGAGCGTTACCACAGGCATACTGCAAGGCCTTCTTAATGTGAGGCGGCTCATAGCGAATTACATCAATCACCAGCTTGGCTCCACGAAGTTCTCGGAGTTTCTCGTCAGTTGGCTTAACCTTTTTACAAATACAACTTTATTTAGCCTTGTTTGTGTCTGTGTACATCAAAGGGAGCTGCTGATTGTAATTTAAATATTTGTTTTCTCATTCATTGACAATAAAGGAATCAATCAAACAAACGTAGAATTATGTAGTAGTATTACCTCAAGATAATCAAGTGGGAGGAAGGTCTCAGGCTCTCCTCTCTGTTCCTTGATGTACTGAATACAGTCTCTGCCAGTTTTTTCAGAATCAACAATGATGGCATCCATGTTCTTTCCCAACACTTTGGTCACAGCAATCTGATACTTCTTCTGAGTTGGTTGACACAAGTCGATCAGACGACCGTACTAGTAAGGAAAGAACAATTCAATTCTCTAGTCAACACACTATAATAACAAAGTTGGAAAAGCAACTATAACATGAGTTAATAATTACCACAGAGCCAGGGTAGAGTCTTTTAATACTCTCCATGATCTCAGCCTTACGTTGCTGTCTGCTGTTCTCTTGCCTGTCAATCCTGGCATCTCCCAGCTGCTCCATTACCTACAGCAAAATGTGTTGATTCAAACCTGTCATATACTGATATGGTGCGTCTGACAAATGGATTATGATGGTATCACTAGACGCTTTCAAATGCAGATTATTATGTTGCTCATGCTTGAAATTCCCTACTACGAGTTCAGCAATCAAATGTAAAAGGGTCTAATGATCACACAGGAAGATTGCAGCTTCAAACTACTTGTGTCAGTCAATTTATACTGAGTACCTGGTTAAGCTCCATGTTGATTTCATCAATCCTCCTCTTGGCCATCTCCACTTCTTCAGTCAGCTCCTCCTCCATACGTTTCTGCTCATCAAGAGACTGTCTAAAAAGCAGTGACACAGGTGGATGAATGTAAAACTGAAGATTATGAATAAAAGCAACAACAAAGTTCTCGGCTCAGAGCTAGAATTTAATACCTGCTAGTAGTAATGTAGTCTTCCAGTTTTTCAATACGCTTTTGGTTTTCCTCAATTTCACGGATTTTCTGTTTAATTTTGGCCTTAATTAGAAAGAAAAAAGTAAATTAGTGTAAATTACCAAATACCATACTTACAATTACAACTCTGTCTCTCATTTTTTTACCTCAGTCTCCACTTTCTTTCTCTCTTCTAGATCGAGGCGGTCCTGGTCCGCCTTTTGGTCACGATTAAACTTTTCCAATTCCTGAGCCAAAGTAGCTGCACGTTTACTGGCCTCCTCTTTCAGACGATGATATTGTTTAACCTACAATGTCAAAAATGTTAACAAAAATGTAAAATAATAAAAGGTACATTAATATGTTTTGATCTTAATAAATAAAAATCAAACCTGGTTTTCCTCTAGTGTCAAATCTTGACCCTGGCTCTGAGCCTCCTCCTCCATCCGCTCCTCAAAATCTTGCTTTGCCAATTCGACTGCCCTCATTTCTTTGTCCAGCTCGTCCATATCTCCTTTCCGCTTTTTGTACATCTTCTGGGCATTTTGTAGTGATTTCCGGGCTGCTTCAAGCTTCTTGATTTTGTGTGATGTGTTTTCTTTAGCCTTAATGTACTGTGGCCTCTTTTGGTTCAACTCAGAGTCTTTCTCCCTGAGAGCAAAATTTCAAATATAAAAATTGGAAAATATCAACTCAACATTAGTGAAACAAAACTTACTTGATTTCTTTCTCAATAGTCTGCTGCTCTCTCATCAGCCTGCCTAGTTCTTTTTTCTTTTCCTTCAGTTCCTCCTCAACATGGTCCATTCGTTTGCGGTCCTTGTCTATCTCCTTATTACGCTGACCAAGTTCTTTGTTGAGTTTCTCAATCTCTGTCTCATTGTGATACAATTTAAAAAGTTGCAGCTGAACACTGGCCCTGGCTACTTCATCTTTTAGACGTTGATAACGTTCAGCCTGATGAAACACATTGAGATATGAGATTTTAAATTAGGTTAAACAAAATTAGACAAGAAAAGCATTAAATAATTAATTATAGAAGGTACAAACATACTTCTTCCTTTTCTTGTTTGGCCTCTTTGCGCTCAGCAGCAATGTTTTTCTTTCGATGGTAATTAAATTGGGTGTCCTCCTCTGCTTTCACCATTTCCTTCTTCCTCCGATCATATTCCTGTGCCAGTTCTCCAGAGCGAGAGATCTCCTCGAACAAAGCTGTTCGCTCTTTAGGGTTTTTCATTGCAATGGATTCAACAGCTCCCTAACAGAGTAGAAACAAATAACATTGGTGAATGTGAAAGAGCTGTCATTTTTAAAAGGTGAATTTGTTTCTACAAAACCTTTCATTAGAATATGTGCAAAGCTATCATATGAATAGATGAACAACACATGAGTTACATGAAAGTTATGACTGTTTGTCTTGCACTAGATGGCAACAAAAACAACAAGTATAGAGTTATAGTTTTAAGAAAAACTTACCTGAAAAACAAGAAAATTTCTAGCTTTGATCAAGATGCCAAGTTTTTCCAGCTCTTCACTGTATTCAGGCAGACCAACTACTTTGTTGTTGATGCGGTATTCAGAAGAAGCTCCTGCAAACATCAGAGAACACAATGTGATAATGTGATAGGGATGGTGTCCGTTATAAAAAAATAAATAAAATAAAAATACTGAAAAGACAGACATGAGGACAAAACATTATTTATAATAGAAATCATACCAATGATGACTCGTGTAAAAGAGCGCTCTTCTCCATTATCCTCCTGATACACCATACTGACAAAAGCTCTGTTAGCAGCTGGTTTTCCAACAGGTGCTCCATGGATAAGATCTTTAAGGGTTTTAACACGTAAATTACTGGTTTTCTCTGCCAAAACAAAGCTGATGGCATCCATAAGATTGGACTTTCCTAAAAAATAAAAAAAAAAATAAAAATCTATTATGCTTGCTCCATTCATAAAAATGTGAAGAAAACATTCATTTGGGATCAAATTACCACATAAAAATATATATAGTATCAAGAACAGAAATATATAGCGACTATCAAAAAAGTGTATGAGACAACATAATAATATAAAACACAGGCAGAAATTAAAGTCAAGGCAACATGCTCTACTGTTTATAGTCAGCGGTAGCTTTTAGCAATAGCCACTGCTAACAGTGAAACATAAATTTTGACAACATACCAGATCCATTGGGTCCGATGATCGCTGTGAACTTGTGGAATGGCCCGATAATCTGCCTACCCTTGTATGATTTGAAATTCTCTATTTCTATCAGCTTTAAGTACCCCATACTGAATATTTATTGGTCCCTAGAATGTGTGTAACAGTTTTGATCTTTTTGCTAGCTAATGCTAACTACCGATGCCTTCCAAACGCCGATTCTCCTCAAAGATGCATGCACTTTTGTATCTATCTGTCTATCTATACAATATTTCAAAGTGTAATTCCAAAATCATCATGCAAACCGCATCTCGCCTTGGGTGGTTTGGATTTTTTTTTAGAAGCGATAAAATAGCGGCAGTTCATTGCAAAAACAATGCGCCATTTTACAGAGCTTCCGGAAGTGAGTAGTGCGCGCGAGCATCGTAATCTCGTAGTCTATCGCGAGATAATCCTTTTTTTGGGGGGGTACCTTTTGGATCTTTTTGACTCTTTTGTTATTTGCTTGTTTTATCTTAGTTGTTTTGTCAGTATCGTGTGTCTTGACGTCCTAGCATGTGTCACAATTTAGACCACATCTGGCCCTGACTTTTTACATTCTAAACAAAAGTTGAATATCTGTTTCCATAGTAACTAATAATGTACACAAAGTAGATGGACTGCCTTGGTGTTTTATCCGAAGGTAACGCTAAATCGTTTAATGTTTATTGTTTATGATACTTGATTGATGATATGCATAGCTTCCTAAACTGGCATAGATGTAGTCATACTTTCTGCAGAGTCCAAAAAGCTGAGAAAGAGCTAGTTATAACGTATCACCTTATTTTTATTTAGGTGGATAAAAGCTGTAGCGTTAATCATGTACAAAGTGGATTTGGCTGTGGACCAGTCCGAACAAAATGCTGTGGAGAGGCGCAGAGCGGCAGAATCTGCACGAAAGGAGCGCATCTTCAACACCCGGCTCCGAGTGATGGGCCTGGACCTTCAGGCTCTGGAACAACAAGTGCAGGATAGAAAACACCAGCAACACTTGGAGAAACAACGGGACAAGGCTTATGGTAAACACAAATGCACTTTTGAAGCCCATGTGTTACCTCTATCATTTCAGCAGACCCTTGAAATAGGGGAAAGTAAGTCATGACCATTTTACACATTTTATGTGTATGTCAGATTTTCTTAGAATGAGCCATGATGAAGCCCTTGTACAGCAGGACAACACTGAAAAACAGCGGCGCGCAGATCTGCATTCAGATTTGACCAAGTTCTGGTCCACTTACCAGCGAGCGGAGGACTCCCGTGATGCAGATGTTAACAGTGACCGGATGGGGGCGTTGACGCTCTCGGTTCCAGAGAGTGAGCTGGGGCCTGCCAGTATGCAAATCTTTGAGGTATGCTTTATGACCCAGACAGATGCTTGGCAACCATCAAAGGACCAGTAAAATTTCGAATAGTGGAATAAATTACATTTCACCTAGCTTGCTTTAGTCCCAAAGCCATTTTCTGATAAACAGAAAACAAAAAGCAGATGATCTTAAATACATAATGATGCTGTCTAAGGAGAATGTTCATATTTAGTCATTTTTGCCTGTACAGGGAGAGGACCAAGCAGCAAAAAACAGACAGAAAGAACAAATGAAAATTACAAAAAGAAATCTGAGTGTACAAAAGGAAGACAATGAGCGGAGACGAATGGCAGAGAAGCACAGAGGTGAGGAGACAAACACATTGTGACTATGAGCTAACATATTGTACAGTGCAGTGACTCTAAATCACACACATGCTTCAGGCTTTGGTGCACAAACAATTGCACACTCCTACGCACAGCTCTTAATGCCAGGTGGCATTGATGAATGCTCATCCCTAAGTGCAGCTATGTGTGAGCGAGTCACCTCGAGCTTGTGCAGTAGTAGAGTAGGTCTGAACAGTGTCTGAACAGAGTCTGAACTCTCACTTTATGTGTGTTACAGACATGCTCTCTGGTCGGGGGTTGATGTATGAGGACTACAGACGAGAAGAGATGCAGACATTAGAGGAGGAGTGCAGAAGAGCATCCCGCATGGCCCTGGATAACTACAACCATGCTCTGGTACGCACTTGGACACACACTTAACACACTAAGTCCAGGGGGAGTGCCAGCTGCTATAGCAGGGATTTCTAAATTAAAATTATTAATTGAAAATGTTAAGTGATGCAGACCCACACATCTGGGACAGAGTGGTTTGTTCAAAACCACACTATAATAGATGGTTTAACTGCTTTGATGTATGCATGACCAAGTGTGACTCTAAAAGCCCCAATTTACCTCTCTTCTCGCCAGAATGCTCTTTAGTAAAGCCTCCATAGAGATGTATCATTGTAAATCCTCCAGGCAATGTTGTTTTATGACAATGGTTGTTTTCTAATAACGTATGCCTGTTGCAAAGACAAATAGGAGTAACTGAGTGGATCCCTCCAGAGGACAGTCAACATATGCTGACTTGATACAAGCACATACTGTATTTAGTAGTAATGTGATATTATGGTTCATGCTCCTCACAGGCCACAGAGCAGGCTGAAAGAAAGAGAGAAGAACGCAGACGTGAGGAAACCGAGAATCTAGCAGAGATGTGGCACACAGTGACATCTGACATGATGATGGAGCGCTCAGAGGCAGCAGAGAGGCCAGGAGGAGGCAGACCGCCCGGGGTCCTGGCTGACAGGTGGAAAGGGATGAGCCCCGCACAGCTCAGTGCCATCCACAGGGAGAGAGAGGCGCAGTGTGAGGAGAAACAGGTGAGGTCCTGGGAAGAATTCAAGTCACATTCTGCAGCAATGGGAAAAAGCACTATCAATCAGAGCTCCTTCAAAGGTGTGCTAGACCTGGGCTCGAGGCAAACATGATAAAAGAAAAGCACCTTTTTAGGCATTTTAGTCATTTTCCAACCTCTTTTCACTATTTCACAAAATATTTACTGAATTAATCAAAATATCTGTATGAGTTATGAGATCACACACACTTTTTGCTTCTTGCTATTTTTAGAAAAAACAAGACAAAGAGAAGAGTTTGCGTCTATCGTTTGGCCTGCATCTGTTGAAGTCTTCTCAGGCTGAAGAGGAAGAGGAGCAGAGGGTGGCAGAGCAAAGGAGACAAAAGAGGGCAGAGATGGACCTGTACAACAGGCAGCTGGCTAAAGAGCAGCAGATACAGTAAGCACACATTAATGAGGCTCTTATTTTACCAACAATGCTATAATATTTACTTTAAACTGATTGATACTTTTATTATTCTGTTCCTAGACAGGAGTATTTGGACAAAATCGTATACACCAACAAACCAACAAAGGACTACTTTCTTCAGTTCAATACAAGCTCTCGCTGATCTCATCTCACATAATGGACATACTGTACTTGCTTGGTCTTGTGAACAAGCCACTATGTTCAAATGCAAATGAAAAATGACTTTTCATGTGTCACATTTTCCTACTCCTACTCCACAACTAAGATAATTATGAACAACACTATGACAGAAAAAATACTCTTTTCTTGAGATTGTTCCATCTTCTTTATTTTCAGCCATATATCCAGATACAGTGGTTGAATCATAATGCAGTTACAGTCACATAACCCCCAGTGTCCACCCAGTCTGTCACCATAAGATACCATCAGTGTGCTGGAAGTGCATTCCACACATTACAAACAAGCACGTGTCAACGCTGCAGTGACATTTATGCAGCTCTTGAACCCTCACCAACTAACAATTTCCCTTCCCACTCAGACATCATTGTTTAAAACGGTCTGCAGCTTTTGAGTTGTGAATAAGCGCTCCAACAAAACCCGCTCACATTTTAAGTTTTCACTATAAAAAGGGAAAAAACACAAGTTTAAAAGCAAAGCCCCCGCATTTCTCCTAAAAACATGAAAGCAAAAGGATGAGTGGCAGGCGAGTGAGTATCTGTGTGTTAACTGCTCCCTCATTCAAAGCTAACATTTGCCTTAACACTGACAAACACAGATGTTTAGCAGCAGATAGTCAATAGTATTGGCGTATTTTGCATTCATTGCTCCTGTATGAAAATAGACTTTAAAAAGCTTAAATGTCCTGAGTGTGTTTGTGCAACCTCACCAGGGAGCATATATGGTATATTCAAGCAACCCTTGGACATCACAAATATTTCAGCTGATGACAGGTCTTTCTGCATCAGGAGATATTAAGGTTGAATGTGATATACTCCCTGTGGTCTGCACAAACTGCTAGCTGCATCCCCTTACCTCACAACTGCATCAGACAAAATCTCCACAGATATTCACTGCACCGCAATGCACTGCTAAGTGGCTGTTATGGGCAGGTAGAAATCTTTGTAATGTAACTACGACTATCACTAAATGACATTAATGATGACTTTTTTTCAGAATTTCAAATTTGCAAACATTTACATAGTAACTCGTGTCTTTTAAACTTTTTTCTTGTTTTTAACTATGAACTATTTTTGCTAAAAAGAGCCAAATGATTTGTCAAAAGGAAATGTTCATTGCATCAGTACAAATAAGCAACATCAGAACTTGCAACATTTTAAATAAAGTAGCTTTTTTCTTATCAAATTCATCAAAACAATTTTTAAGGGTGTATTTACATTCAGTGGCAAACCAAACTGGACTTCCTGGACTTTTGTGTATGTGTAAATACAGTGTCTCTAACAAGAATACATTCAAACTTCAGCTCACATAAAGCCTGTCTGCAGCGTGCATCAATGGAGGATTCAAAGTATGACCTGAGAGCAGACGCCACTCTCATCGGTATCCAGAATACACAAGTACTGCCCCAACTAAAGCTTTGAGATGGACAGGTATGGAAAGGTTGTGTGTTAAAGATGATAGTGATTTAATACAATGTAGACAGAGACATACAGAAAGTTACACACAAGTCTCCACACAAGTAACACATTATCATTGTTTCCAACAGAGCCATTACACTTCTGGTGGGAAGGCAAGAGAGTATAATGGCATCAATCTGGTGCTCTATGCAAACCCAGCAGGCACAGGAACATATGGGGAGCATGTTTACATATATGTAATACTGTCATATGGCTAAATAGATACATGTCATTGCAGTATGTATGTACACCAGGTGCTACTAAGTGTTTTCACAGCAAGTTCGCCGTATGCATCCAGTATAGTAAGAAACTTGGCTTAATATGTATGTTCCAATTATTAGATTTGATCAAGATTCAAATGTATAGAAACAATAATACAATACAAAAATAAAAAAATAAAAACATGGCATTTTACACAATTAGTCCATACATGATATAAAGAAATAAAAAAAACATAAAATTACAGCTATGTCTGCTGTTTGTTTCCCCACATTCATCTTACTGCATTATTGTAAGACCACACATTGGAGCCATCTGTTCAAATTCTACCTCAAATTAACCTCCTTTTTACCCGCTGAACTGTTTGAGACAAAGACAGATGACAATGAAAAGACATGATAGGATAAGGAGGGCCAAACGGCATCCTCAAGTGGCTTTAGGTCAAGCTTGTAAATCATATTGTCCGCTACTTTGGACACTCCTTTGGTCAAAATAGTCCAGTCCCTCAGAGTACAGCCATCTGAGTATTTGTTTAAATTGATTGTGTGTTAATCGCCAATGCAGGGAAACGTATGGGCACATATGTGTTGACATGTTTTGGTCTGATGGTTCATTGTGTTTAGGTGTGGGGAGGGGCCTAATCCAGAAAGGTGACTGCGTTGTTGAGGCCGTTGTTGGTAGTCTGGAGATTGGTGCCTGGTACATCGCTGGGCCGGCTAAACTGGCTCACCAAAGATTCATCCAGGTTCATCTCTGTGGTGATGGCACTGCTGCCATTGAAGTCCAAGTTGTCCTGACTGCACAGTTTGCTCTCCTCGCATAAGGAGGGCTGGCTGGCTGTACATTTCTCCTCCAGATCACTACATAGGATATTATTGTATTAGTATATTATTGTTGTAAGTATTAGGCAGTTCCTTAACATCAAACCATATTAGCTTCCATGGAAAATCCAACAATGGTAAGTGAGATGCAGTACAAGAGATATTAAACCAGCAATGTAGGAAAAGGACGCACTGAAGAAAAGCAGAGCTGAAAATGGTGAAGAGGATGGATTAGAAATGAGCATATCAGAGGGACAGCTCATGTTGGATGTTTAGACAGTCACAGAGAGTCACAGAGGCCAGACGCAGATGGTTTGAATGTGTACAAGGGAGGACCAAAGACGGTGATGAAAGAAGACATGATGTTATTTAGGGGATGAAGAAAAAATGTTGAAGAAGGCTTAGAAGGAGGCAGATGATTCACTGAAACAAACACATAGACACACAAGACAATATTTGAAAAATGAATATTTCCAAGTCTGAATTTGAGAAACACATTGTTAGCTAAATGGTGAGAAGGCATTTGCAGGGCTATTAAATAAATAGGTTTGGAATGAATTGCAAGTCACATCACAGCATACCTTTCTAGAGATCTGCATAGCAGGAGCAGGTAGAGGAAGAGGAACAACAAAAGCAACACAAAAGATTAAACCAAACTGTGCTATGGGACTATGGGAAGTGTTAGGATTTGCATAATGACTGTTAATAACTTGTGTGTGAGGGGATGACAAACCTGTACTCTCCAAATGTCTCGTCTTTCATGGGTCTTGCCTCAGAGTCCAGCGGTCCCTCCTCTTTATCTTTGACTGTGAAGTAGAGGGATTATTGGAATTCATTATCAGTGAGATCGCAGCTATGTAACTCTCTGAACCACTGTTTGAGACATTGATAATGACAGCCTGCCACGTTGCCAGATAATGCTAAGTGATAATGTTATCCTATCTAGAAAGATCACTGCTTCCCTCCACATTTCTCTACTACTGTCACAATGAAATGCACGATACCTAATTATCTTGATACAGGGTAATTCTTACTTGTTCAGAATGTTGTCAAACATTGGTCAAAAGTTTCTTGTCGAGGTCTGATTGTGTCTGCATAGTTTTTATCATAGTAGAGTGAGATCTCACTTTAAAGTGAGATCTCACTCTACAAAATGTAAATGGATGCGTGACTAAATATATGGATCGTGAATATTTTAAACTGTGGGTGGATATTTGAGGCAGTCTTATTTTACTGTCTGCTTGAAGAATAATGGTGTTTACTGCAGCACTTTCTTGTAACAGCTTGGCTCCTGAGCCTGTACTGCAGTATCAAGGCCAGACAACAGAGTTCTGAATGCATCAACAAAACTGTGCGTTATAAGTTAAGATTCTTATACAATCACTCATACTAAAGGAATGATTGAAGGATATTATTATTTGCAGAACATCTCGTAACAAAATACAATGTATGAAGTCTTATTATTATTATTATTCTTATTTAATCTTATATTAACAAGGGTAGTATTAGGAGTGATAGCATTGGAAGTATTATTTGTTCAAGTAGTACAGCTGTATAAATGATACTAGTGGAATGGGAACTAGGAAAATAGTAGTTATAGTAGTAATTGGATTATAACCATGTCACAGTCAAAAAAGAAAAACTACCAGAAAATCTACTTAATTACTGTAACACAAGTATTTGCAATGAGTTACTTTACTCAGCTTCGCTTACCTGAGTACTTCCCTCCTTTGCTTCTCTTGATAAAGCACAGTATCAGCAGTATCAGCAGCAGCAGGGCAATGGCGCTTACAAGGCCAATAAACCAGCCCTCGGTCGGAAAATGTGGCTGCCTCTCCATCATGGCTGTAGACAACAAAAATACGACATTTTGAGAAGAAAATAGAAATTATGCACATACAAGGAAAGAGTGCTAGCTGATCAAAACCATCTCACAGAACTGGCTCTGCACTAGTCAAACATCAGAAACAACAAGACTAGAAACTACAAACAGAGTAATGGAGCCTTTTCATGCAGCTATCCCAGCTCTCTTTTTACATAAGTCTTTGAAAGCACTTCACAGCTGACGTGGGGAATTGTAAGACACTCTCTGCTGCTGCAGGCGAGCTTTGTATTTAGTGGTGGGGAGCTCAGAGGAGAGCAGAGAGGATGAAAGTAAAAGGGATAAACGAAGTGCTCATCGTACCCGTCCCCTCAGTGTCGAGCTCGTCTTCCCAGAAGGTGCTGTTGTTGTAGGAGAGGCGGATGCGGTAATGAGAGCCCGGTGTCAGGCCCCGGAGCTGATAAAAAGGCAGGGAAGAATCCACCTTTTCCACCTTTTTCCACTCAGAGCCATCTGCAGAAATAACAAGTATTTTGTTTGTTTACATGTCAGGTTCACAGTTCTTTGTAAGGTACGTCAGTTTAGATGTACCATTTTTATTGAGGTATTCAATCTGAAAGCTGACATTGCGATGCCTCTTCTTAGCAACCCAGCTGAAGTTGGCTGAAGATTCTCCCACAGATACACTGATGTTTACAGGAGGGGCTATTAAAAAGAGATTTGTCAAAATCAGAAACAATGAGACATTTTCTTGGAAAATTCCACTTTCAGCAAATATAAGACACTTTTTATGACATATTTAAATAACAATAATAAAATTTTGCTATATGGGTTGTAAGTCTATGTACTCAAA